CTAATCCATCTCTGCAATGCCAGGTCAAGGCTTCTGAGTGAGTGGCCTTAGCAAAGGCCTAACCAAAGTGGGTAACTTGCCAGGTGCAGTGGCTCACACCTGTAATTTTAGCACTTTGAGAGGCCAAGGCAGCAGGATCACTTGAGCTCAGGAGTTTGAGAACAGCCTGGACAATAGTGAGACCCCAACTCTACAAAAATAATTTCATTTTTAATTGGCCAGCCATGTTAGTGCTCACCTGCAGTCCTAGCTACTTGGGAGGCTGAGGCAGGAGGATCACTTAAGCTCAGGAATTTGAGGTCGCTTTGAGATAGACTGATGCCACTGTACTCTAGTTGGGGCAACAGAGTAAGACCCTGTATCCAAGAAAAAGGGAGGGTGCAACTTTAAACTGAGTCATGAACACTAACCAGGGATGAGGAAGCGCATTCTAGGCAGAGGGAACAGCAGGTGCAGATACTCAGAGGACCCTGTGTACACACTAGTGCCTCGGTGAGCTGATGCAGCGAGTGAGTGTGGAGGGCAGCTGGAGGGGGTCGTGTGCCCACTTATGGGAGTGTGCTATATGGATTCCCTGGAAGGAGAGTGGTGTGGCATGGCCAAGTGTGTGCTCTGTGGCCGCATGTGTGATGGCAGTGGAGGGGCCAGGAAGAGGAGCCATAAGAGGCCATGAAGACAGCATGGCCTAGCTGGGCTGTGGCCCTGTGGCCATGGGTGGAAGGGAGGTGGCACACAGCAGGCATGCCTACAGAGGTGCATCTGAAGTGTGGTGACCTATTGGACATGGCAGTGGGGACCCAGCGAGGCCAGAAGGTGGCACCAGGAGAGGGGTGAGGCACTGGGCAGGGATGGGGGGCTTCCAGGAGGATGCGGGCACATTCGCCGTGCAGAGCGCAGGGTCGCACAGGCCCACCTGATGAGCTGCTTCTCTTCTGAGAGTCCGCAGTCCTTTAATGAACAGCAGTGGTGGTGGCAGCAGCCACAGCACCCATAACAATATCTGTGTTCTCAGTGGCTCCTCATAACTTAGTGCCCATGACAAGGACACACTGGAATAGACAAGGAACCCACTACAAAGAACAAGCAGTGCCGGCCCTGAGACCAGCAGGTGTGAGCTGCAGTCCCGGCAGCCACCAGGGTGATGATTGCACCCATTTTGCTGACCAAGAACCTGGGTTTGCTGGAGCTGAGGTCGAGGGGTTGGCTGGAGGCTTCCTTCTTTTTGAGGGTCCATGGTGGAAATTCTTCCATTTAACTGATCCTTTCTAGAGGCATGTGGATCACAGAAGGAAGAAAGAAAGAGACATTCAAGTCACAGATAGTTCAAATGCAGGTTTGGAAAGGGGACAGCCCTGAGCAAATCACTCAACTGCTATTAGCTGCCATCCTCTTTCTATAAAATAGATTTTAAAAACTGTCCACTTCCTAGAGACATGGAGAGGGTGAGCTGAGAGGTGAAGGGCTTGGCATGAGCCTATGCTCAGAATGGATCCTGCTATTATGGGCACCTTCTTGGGAACAGTAATGGCACAGATTTCTGAGTGCACAGCAAGGGTGACCACAGCCCCACAGTGCCTGGAGGATCCCGCAGTATCACATCATGGCAGGAATCCAGACACTTGTTTTGAAAAGTGGGGAAACTGCGACTTAGAACAGCTTTGGAGCACGTGAGGCCGGTGAACTCTAACAGGAGCCAGGCTTGCTGGGGCCCCAAGAGCTCTCCCCTTTAAAAGGTTACAGCTGGGGACGTCGTTTTATAGCTGAGGAAACTGAAAGAAGGAAATGACAGGGGTGGTTGTGACATGAAGGCAGAAATCGTGCTTGGCGGACCCCGTATCCTCCTCCCTGCAGCCTCTGCCCCCTCCTTTCTGGGTCAGCCACACCCACAGCTGAGGGCACTGGCACAGTCCTGGCTGGTCCTGTCTCTGTAACAAAATAGAGTTCCATGCATGTAAGTGGGACTTATTTGTGGGTCGCTTTGTGGATCCAAAGAATTCCCTAACGCCCATGGCCCACCTGCTCTTGGGAGTGCAATGGAGGCTTTACTGTGTCAGTAACACCCCCTTCCAAGAGGGGATACTGGCAAAATATCCTACAAAATTACACAAATCCAGTTGTCCAAATTGAATTGGGACATCAGTCATAGAGTCACTGAAACTTACTGCAATGCAAATGAACACTCTGTGTAGAAGGGAAATGAAAAGGAAAGGGAGAGGCAGCGACAGAGATGTCCCCTACTCCCTGAGATAGAGAAGGACCGTGGGGTTGGGGAGTTGCTGTAGCAGGGAGGTGCTGGGCTTCTGACACAGGGGACCCAGTTGAATCCTCCTGACTTTCTGAGTAAGGAATGTCACCCCATTTTACAGCTGAGGGGAAGGAAGGCTGGCCCAGGTGCCTGGTCCAGGCAGGGTGGGAGCCCAGGTCCGGCCAGCTCCAGGGCCCCTGGTTTCCTGGCCTCACTGTTGGGAGATGGGCCTGGTCACTCTGTAGAGAGAGGGGAGGCCAGACTGCCTCACCCAGCAGGGCCCTACACCACAGCAGACAGGTCCTTCCTGGCGAGAGAAGCCTTCACCACCTGCATACAGCTCTTCCCTGACTCCTACCCTGAAAGGGCAGGTCAGAGCTCTGCCTCATCCTCCAGCATCCAGCCTGCTCGTGACACCAGCCCTGATACTGTCTGAGGCCCAGCACCCTGTGGCCAGACCCTTCGCATGCTGGGCACTCTCCGCACCTCCTGCGTGGGCACTGGGCTTGGTTATGCCCTCCACCTGGAATGGCCTCTGCCTTCCTCTAGCCACAGACACGTCGCAGCCCTCAGATGTCGGCCAGACACCAGGCAGCAGTCGCCATCCGTCAGGAAACCAGGAACCCGTACTAATACTTCACACAGGAAGTTGGTTACAAAGGCATTGGAAAGGCCAAAGGAGCCACAGGGAAGGGAAGCCGACTCCAGAAGTGACCGTGGGCAGCAGATACCACCCTAGACTGGACAGGGGAGGCAGTAGTGTGGCCCCTGCTCAGGACCCTCGGACTCGTCTGCTTGGCCTGGCTTGGCTCTCCTGGGCCAGACGACACTTAGAGTCCAGCCTGTGCTTGGCCTCCAGGGGTGGCGGCTGCCGCAGAAATGTCCTAGAAAGCACAAGCAGGGCTGCACACCCAGCGCTGCCACCTCAGGGAGGCCCCACCTGCTCTTTCCCCACCCACTGCAAGGATCGTGGCAGGACCCCTCCCAACAAAACACAGAGTAACAAGAGAAAAGCAAAATAAATTAATCTGATAGAAGTTGTATTAACCCAGAGCCTTTAGAAATGGAGACACAAAGAGGACATCTGCATATTTTTCTGCTTAGTTTTGATGAAGAGGGGACTGCCAAGTGGAAGTGCAATAGGAGGAGGGTGTCTGACCCGATGGCGGCTTACTGAGGCGCTTTGCTCAGGTTTCCCTGGGCCTCCCTGTGTGGCAGGCCCTCCCTCCAGGGGTGGGAAGGACACCTGCCACATGGGGGTCTTCCAGGAGAAGGGAGGGAGAGGTCAGAGGTGCCCTCCTAGACGTAGGGCCTGCTCTGGGGAGGAAGGCGGGGGAGGTGAGAGTGGGCTTCACACTCTGTAGTTTCCTCAGCTTCTGCAGGAAGGGTTCCCTGCACCCCAACACCAGGTTCTCATTTGGAAATGGTAGGGCATCACAGAGGTGCCCCTCCCACCACTCACCCTCATCTCAGGTCCCCACTGACCATTCCATTGAGGAGGGTGAGGCCCCGTCCAAAAGGCCATTGTGGGGAGGGGAGCAGCGTTGGGTCTCACAGCTTGCACTTGGTTATTCCCCAAACTCACTCTCTTGATCAAGGTCCTGTCTCCACCTGGGACCCCAGGCTAGAGCCCTGCATGGGAACCCAAGGACCCCTGGCCCTGTCCCATCCTCCCAGTTCTGGGACATAGACCATCAGGCCCACTCATCCTCTCAGGACCTGCCCAGCTGCCCAAGCAGGCCTGCCTCTGAGTCCTGCCCTCCTCTGCACTGAGCTGCTGTCCCTGGCTGAGTGCAGGCCTGGCCTCCTCAGGGCTCCCTGCCTTACCCTAAGGCAGCTGGGGTCTCTGAGATGCCCTTCTGACCACAGCCCTTTGTACACACTACTCCCTCCCCGCTTCTCCTAGACACCTCCACATAAGCACAGGTACTGCCTGACTACTCCCTTCCCGCTTCTCCTAGACACCCCCATACACACAGGTACCGCCTGACCACTCCCTTCCCGCTTCTCCTAGACACCCCCATACACACAGGT